GTAGGTAGGTAGGTAGGTAGGTAGGTAGGTGGAGAGAGAGACTAAGGTAGGTAGGTGTTTCCAGGTATATTTATCCATGTGCTGGAAAAGGAAATAGCTGACAATCTGCAGCACCTAATAGCAGTTAGACTTATATACCGCTTCATAGGGCTTTCAGCCCTCTCTAAGCGGTTTACAGAGTCAGCATATTGCCCCCAACAACAATCCGGGTCCTAAGATTTTGTCTCTGCTGGCACAGCATTTGATCAATGTAATTCTCATCAACTACTCTAACTAAAGAGCTTGAAAGGGAAAAAAAGTTTTTGCACTCTGCAAACCTCCCCAAAATGGCCCCCTTTTTTAAAAGGCATGAATAGCCTTTAGGGGGCTCGCAGAGCAACCTGGAAGGATGGAGGGGGGCAAAAATGAGCAAAAAATGGCCCATTTTTCATGAAAACGGGTCCATTAACTGTCAGAAAAATTTCATGCATAGCTTTTAGGAAGCTTATAGAGTGGTGCTGGGGACTGGGGGGGGGGGAAATGGGCCGTTTTTCTGCCCTCCCCAGCTCCCAGGAGCTCTCGAAAAGCGTCCATAAGGCCATGCACGGCCATTTTGGTGAAGGGGCAGGGCTTCGGGAGGCAAAAAATGCTATATTCGGTGTATAAGATGCACTCAGATTTTCAGCCTCTTTTCTGAGGCAAAAAGGTGCACCTTATACTCCGAAAAATACGGTATATAAGATGGGTCACAAATACCATTGACTGGTGCTGTTGGTTGATACAGGTTGTTGCCAGCATCCTAGGTATCAACCAAATGTCTTCTTAAAATATATGATGTTCTTAGTAACACAGTTTTTTGCAGTTCCGCTGGTGTTATTGCAGAAAGCTGCAATTTCTTTATGTATTTTGTAAAATTCTTGGACATGGTACCAAGTGCCCTGATGACAATGAGTATCGCTGTTACATGTTTCATCTATAGCCGTGTAGTTTCAATGGCCAGGTCGCAATATTTCATGATTTATTTCTAATTTTTTTTCTTCGACTCTGGCATCTCCTGGTACAGCGATATCAATAAACTCTACACTTCAGCCTCTACAACCATGATATCTGGCGTGTTGTGTTCCAAATGATGATCCATCTGTATTTGAAAGTATCCCACAAGATCTTTACCTTCTCATTTTCGGTAACTTTTTCCACTTTGTGCTCCATTGACTTTTTGGATTCAAGTAAGTCGTATTTTTTACATAATGACCAGTGTATTAATTTAGCAACTTGGTTGTGTCTAGCTTTATACTCAGTTTGTACAATTTTGCTGTATTCACATATTAAATGTGAAACAGTTTTGACTTTGTTGTTGCAAAGTTGGCAGTTTGGATTGTCAGTGGATTATTGTATCTTTGCTTTCATGGCTTTAGTTTGTAGTGCTTGTTCGTGAGCAGCCAGTATTAAACCTTCCGTTTCTTTCTTGATGGTTCCCATCTTAAACCATGTCCATGTCAAGTTGTCAACACATTTTCCTTCAATGTTTTTCAAGTGCTGTCCATGCAAAGCTTTGGTTTTCCATCTATTTAATCTGTCATCCAGCTATTTTTCCTTATATTCTGCTTTTGTTTCTATTGTTTTTATACTGTTCTCTGTTTTCACAGCCTGCAGCAATTTTTCTGTACTTTGGTTCACATAATCATTCAAACTTCATTTTTCTTCTTCTACAATTTGATGGATTTGCAATAGCCCCCTGCTCCCTATTTTTCTTAGCAGGTGCAACCTGTCGATGTCACTTCATGTATGTAAAGTGTGGTACATATTTAAAGGTTTGCACGTTTTCCGGTTCACGTTTTCCAGTTCAGCCAAAGTCCAGTTGATGATTCCAGCTGAGTAGTGTATCAGTGGAACTACCCATGTATTAATGGATTTAATTATGTTTTCAGCATTCAGCTTTGATTTTAATATTTTGCGGACCCTCCTGATGTATTCCTTTTCTGTTGACTCTTTGACTTTTCTATTCAAGATGTTATCTGCTTTCAATATGCCTAGGTATTTGTAACCGTCATCCTTTGCTAATGCTTTCACTATGTTTCCATTTCTCAATTTTATTCCTTCTATTTTTTTCTATCTTTCCTCACTGCCTGGATATATAGCACATTTTTAAAGTCCAAAGTTCATTTTAATGTCACTGCTGAACAGTTGAACTGTATTGAGTATTGATTTAAGTTCAGTGGGGCTTTTTGCATACATTTTAAAGTCATCCATGTACAGTAGATGGTTTATTTTGCCCTGTTGGCTTGAGATTTGGTATCCCAATTTTGTGTTTCATAGGATTATTGTCAGTGGAATTAATGCAATGTTGAACAGTAGTGGTGAAAGTGAGTCCCCCTGGAAGATTCCACGTCTGATCTTGACTTCACCAATGTTCTCCCCATTTGCTTTTAGAATTGTTTTCCATTTTTGTATATTTGCTTTAAAAATGTACAGAGATTTTTGCTGATTCCAAAGTTTTTCAGACAGGTGTTAATCCAACTGTGGGGTAATGAGTCAAATGCCATATTTAAATTTGTTTTTTCTTCATTTTGCATTTTTTAGTACCATTTTTCAATGAGCAGCTGATCTTTTGTTCCTCTTGATTTTTTATAATTTCCTTTTTGTTCTATTGGATACAAACTGTTGTTGTTGTTGTTGTTGTTCACTAACTAGAGGAAAGAGGAAACTTGAGAGTTCAGAAGACTGATTCTATATGGAACAAAACTATGACTGAATCTCGATGTTCTGCTTCGGATACCAGGAAGCCACCTCTCCGAAGGAAAACAGGCCGTGAAGAGGATGTGTAGCATCCCAGACAATACTGTGGACCCTGTTCAAGCATCACTTATATACTATGTAAATTGTGCAAAATTACAACTTGGTGTAATTGAGGCGTATGATGGGAAGATGGCAAGGCACTGTGGCATTGTTGGCTACGGGAAAAAGGAAAAACCAAGACCAAATGGGAGCTCTAACATGGATGACTGCTCATCTTATAACTGTAGAAGAAATGCTGTAAAACTGTCTTTGTGTGTGGTCCTTTGGGAAAAGGAATTCAGGCCATTGTCACAGTTAACTGAGCTGTATTGAAGGAATGCAGAGGGGTGCCAGTGATCTGCAATAATCAGGGTTTCCCTTCATCTAAAGAGCCTGGTTTGGGCTTTCTAAGTTGTAAAGCCTCTCAATGATACTTTACAACTTAGCTATAAATGTGTTGTGCAAACCCAGCCAATTGCAAAAACATGTGTAAAAGGAGAAGCTACCCAAACATCAGTTGGCCTTCAGCATTTTCTGTAGTTTATTTTGCAATGTCGAACAACTGACCCTGGACTCTTGTGGTTAAGTTATAGGATTGAGACAAGGTGGCTGACCGGTAATAATTAATGTTTGTTCAGAGTCATTCCTGTTGTGGGGGGATATGGAGGCTACTTTGTTAGAACTAGTAATCCCAATAGTAGTTGAGTCCCCTATAACAATAAGGTTCAGGTGGCCTCTGGTTCTCCTTCTGCCCCAGGGAGAACCCCAGTCTATCTGCTATGGGCAAAAACAGAACAAACCAAAAGCACATAAGATCTGAACTTTATTTCTATTATAGATCAGGTCTGCATGTTGATAGTTGCTAGAATATTTCTTAACACCTTTTTAGTTCTTGCAATAGGCATGACTACCAGATAGCTGTGTCTTTGAAAACCAGCATACAGCTCTGGCATCAGTATTAGCTGAGTGAAGTTTAATGAGATGCGCTCTGGATAGTAAGGATTCCAATAATGAGGCATCAAGGCAAACTCCTGGACCAAAGCACGAATCAGTGTGCCCTAGCAATTCCATAGGCTGGATACTGATGCAAGAGGTTCCGGGTTTTTTGCATGAAAAGGATAGGTTGTGTTTGCAAAATTCATTTAAAAAGTCCTATAGTGGGACTCAAAAGACGTACATAGCCCAATCTTATTCAATGGGGTTCAAGCCATGCAAAGATAGTCCTCCCTACAATTGGGATCTTCAATTCCGTTGCTAGGCAAACTTACAATATCACTTCTGCTGCAGTCATTAAGCAATCATCCATGGTTGTTAAGTGAGATATTATATGACTGAATTTTACTGTACGGCTCTCCATTGACCCAGCTTGCTGGGAAATGTGTGATTGGTGATTACATGACCATACAATTTTGCAATGGTGCTAAACACCTGTTAGTTGTGAAGTGCCCAAATCTCAGTTATATGGCTGTGGAATGCTGTAATGGTCACAAACACCTGCCACTTGTGAAGCACCTGAATCTTGGCCATGTGACCATGGAGGCACCTTGATGGCCTTGAGTGTGAGAACTAGTCATAAAGTTACTTTTCCGGCTGTTGTAACCTTGATGGTTCCTAAACAGGACAGTTGTTAAGCGATGACTACCTGCATTGGAAAATGAATTCATGGACTGTTCTGACCGAGGCTTCCCAAGAGCATGAAGCAAACTCCTTGTTCCAACAAAAAAAAAAACCCTTTTATTAATTTACTGTGAATTCTGCTCATTCACATCCAGCAAGGTCTTTCAAGGGACGATTTATAATCACAGACCTTATCTGGCTTGGAGAGCTGACATGCCGATATCTGCAAAACTTGGCAAGAAGTCTCAGAGAGTCACAAGCCAATTAAGTGAACTAATTATCTCCTACAAACTCCTCTCCCCTTTCGCTCCTCTTTTATTTCCTCTGGGAGGTCCCATTGTCCACCTGTGGCCTTACTCCCAAGCCGACCCCTGTTCTTTAACTGTTCCCTTTGTCTGGCAACTCGGTGCATGCACACACTGGGAACAGGCTCCAGCTGTTCATCTGCCTCACTGATGTTTGACTCAGAAGGCAGCTGATACCGCTCTCGCCCACCTCTGCCACTGATACAGAGCCTTCATCAGAGCCTTCCCCAGACTCCAGGACTGGCCCATGTTCCTCCCCAACCTCCTCACTGTCCGAATCTGCAGGCCACAACATGTACCATGGTATGTTAGATATATACAGGCAGGAAGGAATCTACTGTATTGCATTTAGAAGAATCATATGTACAGTCCATCCTTGCGTTAGACTGTCAGAGAAAGTGATATACAGGTAGTCCTCAAATTACAATCCTAACTGGGCCTGGCAATTACAGTTGTAAGTGATGACAGTTGTAAAGTGGGTCTCTACATGACCAGACCTTATTTTATAACTTTTTTCTGATGATTGTCAAAAAAATCCCGTTGCTCATTTTGGATTGTTTTTGTTTTTTTGCCACAATTTGGATGCACATACTAGTTTTTGCTAAAAACTGGACGTACATGCTGGTTTCTGGCAAAACCATCATACACTATATTGCCAAAAGTATTCACTTACAACTAATTCTGATTATGTGGATGGGTGAGCAAATACTTTTGGCAATATAGTGTATATTGTGGTAATATGACCACCAATAACAGCTGTAAATGTGAGCCAGCCGCTGAACACCCAATTTGCAGTTATGTGGCAGAGAAAGACTGGGCAAGTCAAGGGGAGGAGTCAAGTGGGGAATTGTTCTAGAATCTCCATGTAGGCACAAGAGGGCAAGGTCTGACCCTGCCTTTGAATTATATTGAACCTTATATAGTCTGGCCCAGGTGCAAGCCACCAGTCCGAGAACATTCCTGTATTATAGACATGAGCAGTAACATAGCTAATTGAACTCTTCACTTGTGGATATGAGTGTTTATGCCTGAACAACATGTAATGGCTCGGGGTGGGGGCAGGGGTGGGGGGCAGGGGTGGGATTCAGCCGGTTTGGATTGGTTCGGGTGAACTAGTAGCTCTGACAATCAGCTGAGAGTGAACTGGTTCACTCTGATGATTAGGTGGGCCCTCCGGCCCTCTCTTGTGCTTTACTTACCTATATCCTCTCAACTGATTGAGAGTTACTCCCCAAGAAGTAACTGTGTGCGTGCATGAAACATGTGATAACTGTACCAGTTGTTAAACCGGCAGCATCCTACCACTGGAAGGGGGGGGATGATGTTGGAACTGGGTCATAAGTATCTTTCAAGGTTCCATCTTAAGTTTGAACATGTTGCTAAGTGTAAAT